CTGTCCAAGAAGGACTTTCCTGCAGATGTGGAAGGCTCTCGGCGACTGATAGACGAACACACCCAGCTTAAGAAAAAGGTGCAGACACAGTCAGAGACTTTATTATCGCTCTAGATTGAACTGTGCAAAGCCACTGAAGCTACTCTCCTGCAGGTGCTAAAGGCTCCAGTGGAGGAATTGGACCAGGAAGGCCAGAGGCTGCTCCAGTGCATCAGATCGAGTGATGGCTTTTCAGGGAGAAACTGCATCTCAGGCTCAGCTGACTTTCAGAGCCTTGTGCCCAAGGTAAGGAACGTCCAGCTCAGCTAAGATCTCCCAGCATAGTTTTTATCTATGCTAAAGTTAACACAAACAAGAATAGTAGCTTCTATTATGGTTTATCTATGCTTTCTGATGCAAACAAAACTTTGAACCTAGACATGTGGCACATTCAGATGCTAATGTATCCATGCATGATGCTTGCAGATGCTGCAAACCTGCAGGTATACTTTCATGCCTACATAATCAGGGACCACTTTGAGGCCACTGTTGCTGTGATTTGGTGCTACATAGATAAAAGTGAACTGAGTCTAGATGATTATTGACAGTTTTGTTCATAACTAAATGAAACTTGCATCCTTCCAACTGCTGAATGCTTAAAGCACACGGTATCATAACACGAGATTGAGTCCACAGCCTGATTTTTTCTCATTAGCCAGCTCGTTAGCAACGCTCATTATCTGACAAGTGCTGGCTGCATATTAGCTCATTAGCCAAAGGACTCCACAGGGAAAATTTGAGTGCACAGCTTGTTTGCATTAAGCACATGAAGTACACGTGCAATGCCTGCGTGAGCGGCATTTAAATTGATGAGTGTGAGACGTCTTTCATATTTAAATCTTTGCTTTACTTTTTGGATTAAAGAGGATCATAAAGGCGATATCAAACCGGCCAATGGCATGCGAGTTGTTTCTCTGCTCCACTTGTGCACCTGCAGCACTAAAACCAGCAGCAGTAACACAGCAGTGTAAAAGATAGACTGTTGGTTCAATCCAAAGAAAACCTACCATCAGATCAGAAGTGCTGAATGAAATGTAAGACACACTCGACGAGCTTGCTGTTGCCTCTCAGGACCATGTGACACATTGTGCTTTCCCTGACAGGTGGCCAGTCTGCTGGATAAGCTGCATTCCACCAGACAACATCTCCATCAGATGTGGCACGTCAGGAAACTGAAGCTGGACCAGTGCTTCCAGCTGCGCCTCTTTGAACAGGACGCAGAGAAAGTGAGTTACACCTAAATATGATCAGAGTGTGAGGAAGGACGAGGCATCAGGGGCCTGTGCTGCCGTGTGCACCAGCTCTGATAAGATGCTGTTATGCCTCATTCACCTGCACTGCTTTCTGTTAAACACACTGGGGTTCGTATCTTCCCAACCTGACCTGCAGACTAGAGCAGCCTGGGATTGAATCACCAGCCTTAGCTGACCTGTGCTACCTCCTGAGCTGCAGCCACAGTTCAGCATATCGAGGCTCTTCTTCTTCTTTGGGTTTGACATTGAAAGATAAGGCTAAGCTTTCATATCAACTGGATAACATGTTGTTCGTCTGCTGTTTCGGCCTGGCAAACCTTCAATTGCCTTCAAGTTTCCTCAAATAATTTCAGGACACACTTTGTCGCTTGCTTGCGTTTCATACTGAGGTGTGCCGGACTTTAATAACTCTTCAGAATCACCTTGTTAGTGCAAATA